ATTCTGCTAATCTCCTGGAAGTCACGTGGAACAGAGAGGATTTAGATTCCTCACGTACATAACTGGTACCCCAGAGTCCTCACTTCTGTAGTAAACGTGTCTTCAAAGAGAAGCAGGAACCATAGGTTGCATTAAAGTTCCTCATTCTGGTTCCTGACCCTTTTGGGTGGGATCTCCGGGGTGCACTGAGGGACGATGCATAAAGGATGACTTAACTGATTCCATATTCCTTCTCAACTTTGATTGGACAAATGTTCACATTGGTCCTGGCTCATCCTCTTCTCCCTGATGCTCCCATGCCTACAGTGCTGAAAGGTAAGAGTCTCAATCTATTTCCTTCTCCATCTGCTCTAGTTGGCTTTGCCCCCACAGAAATAGCATGAGCTAGCCCAGCTTCTCATCTAGGGACTAAAGGGAATCTGAGAACCTAGAATACCCCCTTTGATAGAATTCAAGCACCACTCTTGCAACCTTTTTTTCCTTGGTCCAAATGTACCTGGCTTGCATCTTGGTGAGCACAAGATCAAGGCAAACTCAGCCAAGAAAGAAAAGAGTAAAGAAACAACCATCTCCCGTGGTGGGCAGGGACAGCTAGTAGTGATTTGCAGAGCCCTCCTCCAACACAGTTCACACACAGTCAAAAAGGAAAGCACTTGAGGGAAGATGCATTCCCAATATGCTTAGTTGAAGGGTCTATCTAAAGAAGTGACCATGCGCCGGGTGATGGTGGCACACGCCTTTAATCCTAGCACTTGGGAGGCAGAGGCAGGCAGATCTCTGTGAGTTCAAGACCAGCCTGGTCTGCAGAGCTAGTTCCAGGACAGGCTCCAAAACCACAGAGAAACCCTGTCTCGAAAAATCAAAATAAATAAATAAATAAGTGACCATGGAAGACACATTGTGAGGCATATTTAGTTCACGGCATGTTAGAAAAGTTAAAGATGTTGGCCAGGGACACATCTGAGCATGTTCAGTTTGAATCACATACATGGTGGAGAGGAATGTTTCTGAGCATGCTCGGCTTGTGTCTTAAGATGATTGACAGGAACATCTTTGAGCATGCTCTGTTTGCATCATAAAGACAGTGGGCTGGGATCTTTCTGGTATGCTATCTTTCATCATGAAATTTTCTTTGTTTTTTTTTTTTTGTTTTGTTGTTTTAAAGACAGGGTTTCACTGTGCAACTCTGGCTGGCCTGGGACTCACACTGTAGACCAGGCTGTTCATGAACGCTCAAAAATCTACCTGTCTCTGTCTCCCAAGTGTGGATATTAAAGGCCTGCACCACCATATTTGATTAATTACAAAATTTTCATTGAAAAAAGTGAAAGAAGAGTTTGAAGGAGTTTGTCTCTAAACAGGCCTTCCTTGCTAATGCAAGCTTCAGAATGGGACAGAAACGGAAGCCATTTGGCCAGAGAGCAAACTTTAGATCTGCTCTAGATCTAATTTGGCCAAAAAAATTCACATGGGTTGGGAAGATGGCTCAGTGGTCAGTGCGCTTACTGAAAGCATTAAGACATGAGCTCGGATTCCCAAAGTCCATCAAAAAAGCCAGGGGGCACGGGATCTCAGCTGTAATTCCAGCTCCAGAAAGCAGACATTAGCGATCCCCAAATCAAGATGAGGTGAGCCTAGCACCTTGCTCTACAGCCATCACAGAGCTCCTTCCAGCGTGGCTGCAGGCAGGCTGCTGGGCTGCCATCCTCAGCTCACTAAGTCCACCCCGAGTCTGCTGCAAAGGAACTCTTGGGAATTGCAGGGACCCTGAGCCTTCATCTCGTCAGGACCCATTGTAGATTCCACTTTCCCGCATGTTCCCAGCCCCCAGCTTCTGACCTTGTTTTCCCTTTCTAATTATGGCTTTGTCTCTCTGACCCATCTGACCCAATGTTCTGCGCTTCATCTATAATCTTGGCCACCACATCACCCCTCCTGGTCCTGCTGCCATCAGGAATCCTGGGTAAGTGTGTGAATCCCGTTGACAATGTCATGGACCGGGAAGTTCAATGGAAGACTTTGAGCAAGAAGTTGTGGTCTGCGAGACAGTTGTAGTGGTGAATACCTTTAACCCCAGCATTCAGGAGAGAGAGGCAGCGAGGTCTACATAGAGAGTTCCAGAACTATGGGCTACATAGACCCAAGAATTAAAATTGTGAACTGCACTAAAGGTTGTCTTTTGACCTCCACACATACACCATGACACATGTACACACACACACACGCATGCGCACACGCATGCACACACATGTGCATATATTTAAAGGGGGTTGACAAGATGGATCAGGAGGAAGAAGTTCTTGCTGCTTGATGACCTGACTTCATCCTAGAGTCATGGTAAAGTCAGAGAACCAGCTCCTGCAAGTTGTCCTCTGTCCTTCATGTACCCAGTGTGGTAAGAGCACCTCTTCACTCTTAAAGACCAGAGCAGGGGCTGGAGCACCTACTGCTCCTCCAGAGGATCTGAGTTCAGGTCCCAACAGCCATGTCCAGCAGCCCATGACTGCTTATGACTCCAGCTCCAAGGGCGCTGTCACCCTCCTCTGGTCTCAGCAGGCATTGCACTCACACGCACACACCCACACACATACACACGAGAAAAACTTAAAAATTAAGTCTTGGGGGGAAAACTGACAAGAAAAATGGCTCCTTAAACAGCATCAGGGGTTGATGTTCGGCCTCAATATGCACACGCGTGGATCTGTCACACCTGAGCATACACAGACACATTGGAAATTGCTACAATTTTAGCATGTGTTATACTCTGATGATGGAAGCCCACAGATGGAATTAATTCAGAATCTTGTGGGGTCCTGGTCACGTGCTGTATGACACCCACATGTTGGGTGAGTGAGGAATTGCGTACACTCCAGCAGACCCTATTACCACTTCTCAGTGCCGTAGCACAAACCTCAGATTGAGGAAGTCCATGCTATGATGTCTGCTCAATGATTAAATTTCCTTCTGACTTGGTGTTCAGACCACACTGGAGGCAAACGGTGCCTTCTATGACAGAGCTGGGACAAGGAATTGAGACTCTTAAGGAAATTCTGAATCAGTGGTCCTCAACCTTCCTAATGGTGTGACCCTTTAATACAGTTCCTCATGTTGTGGTGACCCCAATCTTAAAATTATTTTCATTGCTACTTCATAACTGTAATTTTGCTGCGGTTATGAATTGTAATGTAAATACCTGCTATGTGGACAGTCTTAGGCAACCCCCGTGAAAGGGACGTTTGACCCCCCGGGTTGAGAACCACTGCTCTAACTTGTTTTGATACTCGCTGATCAATGGGTTTCCCTTCCTCCTTTAGTTAAAAAGTGACAACTCTGCGAATTTGAGGCTAGCCTGGTCTACAGAGCAAGCTCTGTCTACAGAACAGCTAGGGCTGCACAGAGAGACCCTGTGCAGGAGAATAGTTTGGCACACAGTGAACACTAAATGACAGATATTGTAGATTTCTCAGGTAGAGGAGGGACTCTGAGACGGGCAGGAGAGCTGGGCTTTGGGGTTTTTATTGAGGAGGGGTGTTTAGGGTGTCTCACCTGTTTTTTTTTTTCCTTTAACCTGCTTTCTTTTGGTCTGAAGTTGTCTATGTATCTCTTCTGTAGCAGGGACTGAGTCTCTGTCAATGTCCAGCAATGCAGAGATGCCTCAATGGTTGACTGGCTGGGGTCAGAGTGGGTGTCCTGACTTCCTTTGCTCTAGGGGTGTAATAGGTCCAAAGAGATCCACCTTACACGAGGGAAGATGGGCTACAACTCAGAGAGACAAAAACTGCTGGGAGAAAAAGCCACAGAGAAACGGAAACCTACAGCCTGTTGTTGGGGGAAAAAAATCCATTTTAAAAACAAACAGACTGGGTTTATAATGCTCCACCTCCCGCCTTCCTAAGTGGCCTTGGCACCACAGCCATACTTCCCCCAGAGGGTTGGCTGGGTCCCTAGGACTGGGAAAATCCATTCATTGTGGATTTTCTTTCTGTTGCAATTGCTGTGTGTGTTGACATCATTTGTTTGTGTTTTTTGTCTCCTTCCTCAGGGCTGATGAGCAGACTGTCCCCGGAGGGTAAGTGTGCATCTGTCTATGTCCTCAGCCCACAGTCTTTGCTCTTTCTTGTCAGTGGGTGACACAGACCTTGCCAGGCTATAGAATGCCTCATATCGTACCCAGTTCCACGCTCTGTTTATTTGGCTTTAAGTTTAAACTGTAAGACTTTAAGACAGTTCTGAAGCCATTTTTGACAATTCTGAATCCTCTCAGCCTCTGTGCCATAGTGCTTCCCCTCCTCCCCTGGGAACCAAGGACCTAACAGCTATACATGCATGTACTCAGTTCCTGAACAGTTACCCATATACGTATGTTTTGATTTGGTCCCTTGGGAAACGGGGTCAAAATGACCTCTTAACCGCATCTGATCTGGCAACAGCTCTCCAGTCAATTATTGGTAATAGCCCTTTCAAATAAGCCAATTACAACCCCCCTTGCTTCTGTGGCCCCTTTAAAAGTAAACTGTACCCGCTATTCGAGGTCTCTTGGCTTCCCGAATGCTAGGGGACCCTGTCATGACAGAATTAATAAAATCCTCATGCTTTTGCATGGCTGTGGTGTGAGAGGTGGTCTCTGGGGGCGACTCCTCCTCAGTGTTTGGACACTAGAGTCCAACAAAACTAAAAAAATATAGATATTGAAGGAGAGCATGTGTAGAGGCAGGCATGTGGGGGTCAGAAGACACCTGGAGGGGAGTTGGTCCCTTCTTTCCACTGTGTGGGTCCCAGGATTAGAATTTAGATCTTCAGGCTTGCTAGCAAGCACCCTTGCATGCTGACCCATCTTTCTGTCCCAAAATATTTGGTGTGTGTGCGGGTGCACACACCTGTGCAAGCATGCAAAGGCCAGGGGAGGACACTGGGTCTCCTATTCTGTGTCCTCCAGTCTTATTTACATGAGTACTTCCACAAGACAGTCTCTTATTAAACCCGGGGCTCACTGTTTTTAGGTTGACTCAGACCAGTACGTGCCTGTCAAATTACCTGGCGTGAGTGAGAAGGAAACACGAACACGCAACAAATCTGCTTAGGAGTTTATTAGAGGGGTCAAGTACAGGCCTGGGGAAGTCAGTGTGCAGAGAGAGAGAGAGAGAGGAAGATGGCGCATCCAGCTTGTGTACAGGGGGTTGACATGGCTACATCGCACGCAGATGATGGGTTCATGCATGCGCGTAAGAGCTTATCTGAGTCATATGTGGATGGTGTAACCACACTTGCATGCAAAGGTTTATCTGAGTCATACGTGGATGATGTAATCCACATTGCACAAGGGTCACTCGGTGCTCTTTAACATCCCCAAGGGCCATTAGGCACTTCTGCCTGAGGGCTTATCTGCACATGCACGGCCCCTAGAACCCTTAAGTATCAGCCTTATTGTGGCTGAAATCTTTACATTCTGGGATCCTTCTGTTTAACATCTCCCTAGTATTGGGATTATAGGTGCGGCTGGCCTTAGCCAGTTTTTTACGTGGGTGCTAAGGGAACTGGAACTTAGTTGGATCCTTAGACTCTTTGAGGTAGGAACAATCTACTTTTCTATTCCTGGAGTACAAGGTCTGGCTATTAGCCACGCCTGTTGACAATAACCTTGAGAGATCAGAACTCTCTGACCTAAATCTAGGTGAGACCTTTGTTTGAGGTAGAAGCACAATTAACCTTGAAGGAACTAGAGGTAAGTTCCAATCCTCTGACCTTTGGTCAACACAGAAATAGGCTCACATTTCCCGGCCTTCACATGTATGTGTAAAGCAGTGGTTCTCCATCTTCCTAATGCTGTGATCCTTTAATACAGTTCCTCATGTTGTGGTGACCTCCAACTGCAAAATTATTTTGTTGCTACTTCATAACTGTATTACTGCTGCTGTTATGAATCTTTTTTTTTTTTTTTTTGAGACAAGGTTTTTGTGTAGCTTTGGAGCCTGTCCTGGAACTTGTAGACCAGGCTGGCCTTGAATTTACAGAGATCCACCTGTCTCTGCCTCCCAGGTGCTGGGATTAAAGGCGTGCATCATCACCGCCCAGTTTGCTGTTATGAATTTTAATATAAGTATCTGGTATGCAGAATATCTGATATGTGACCCTCCCCAAATGGGTCATGACCCACAGGTTGAGAACCACTGGTATAAGCCATTATGATATAGTAAGATAGTATTCCATTAACATTTATACAATCAGCTTGGAGTTGAGAGTGGGTAAGGTCAGAATCATTGGGGAATTGGGGACAAAATAGCAAGTGACAAAAACTCAGCAACTGTCAGCAAAATGGCTCACTGGGCAAAGTTGCTTACTGTTTAGCATGACGTCCCAAGTTCAATCCTCAGGACCTACATGGTGGAGGGAGAGAGCCGATGCCTACAAGATGCCCTCCAAGCTCCACATGTGTGCCATGATGCACACATACCCCCATTAATTAAAAGGGAAGGAAAATACAGCTAACTGGAGTGTTTCACATCTGCAACTCCAGCACTGAGGAGCAGAAGCAAGAGTGAGTGGTGATATCACACGGGTGCACCACCTGAATATGATTCCATTGCATATATGTGCAGCGTATGCAGGTGTGAACGTTAGTGTGTGCATGGGTGTGTATATCCACACATGTTCCTGTGGAGGCCAGAGGTCAGAGTCAGCTGTCTCCTTCAATTGCTCTCCACAGTGGTTTTTCTTGAGATAGACTCTTCACTGAAACCTGGACTTCACTGGTTCTTTTTAAAATATATTTATTTTTGTCTTATGTATACGGCTGTTTTGTCTGCATGTATGTCTGTGAACCATTTGCACGCAGTGCACAAAGGGGCCAGAAGAGGGCATCATATATGCTGAAGCCAGGAGTTACATGAAGTTGTGAGCCTCTCTGTGGGTGCTAGGAATCAGAACTTTGGCAAAATCAGTGTTTTTTTTTTTTTTTACTTTATTTATTTTTTTTGATTTTTTATATTATTTAACTTATTTTACTTTATTTATTTACTTATTTTTGAGACTGGATTTCTCTGCTGCGATTGAAGGCATGTGCCATCATGCCCAGCTCAGCCAGTGCTCTTAACTGCTGAGCCACCTTTCCAAACTTTCCTGGTTGTGTTTTTATGTTGAGGAAATGGAGGAACATGTCGTGCAGCTAGGAGGTGAATGAACCAAGACTTGAACACAAGTCCTGTTTGTTTCACAACCCCCCCCCCATTGGACCCTAAAGCCCACTTACCAAGGAGGCGTCGCCCCAAGAGACCACCCTCACACCACAGTTGCTACAAAAGCAAGAGGAATTTTATTTACTGCCACGACAGGGCCTCTCAGCCTCGGGAGGAGAAGGGCCCCGAGTGGCTGTTACAGGCTACTTTCAAAGGAAAAAACCACAGAAGCAAAGGGGGAGTCTAAGAGTCATTTGTCAACTATTGTGACTAGCTCATTTAATGGTCAGCTAACTATAATTGCCATGGTGGTTTCTGGGTTGGTTGAGCAAGGAGGAACATCTGCAGGTCATCTGCAGGTCGTTTTGCCCCAGTTCCAGGAACTGGGTCTATTGAAGAAAAACCGCAGAGGGATGAAAAGTACCTGGGAGACGCTTGGGTGATTATTAGGTTCCTGGTTCCCAGGGAAGGAGGGGCAGTAATGCTGAGATGGCCCAGAGTCTTTCACCCTTCCTCTTAGAACAGAGTCTAGGATGTAGAGATGGCTCACGTCTTGGCATTATCCACCCATCCGTAATCTTGTCTCTCGGCCCTTTCACAGCTGAGTTCTTTCCAGGCAGGGCCATCTTTTCTTCCATTCAGTTAATCCCTGCTCATCTTTCAGGTTTCAGACAAAACATCATATCCTCCTCCAAGACGCCTCCCCTGGTAACCACTCCAGGTCAGCAGCCACCCCCTTTATAAGCTCCTGCCACGCCCTTCAGGTTACCTCTGTCCCACTTCACAAGGCTTTTGGTCCCCTTCCTCTGTAAGTTCCTGGAAAGCCATGGATACTGTTCATTGGGATAGATAGTGTCTCACCCAATCTTCTTATGCCGGATGCAGTAGGTGCCCACGGATGTCTATTAGGAGAAAGGGAGCCTGCAGACTCAAGTCCCCGTCTTTCCCTGTAAACCAAGCAGTGGCCTGCTATCTGATAGTGTTCTCATTTCTGGTCTTGACTGATCAAGGATGCTTATGGGTGGTAAAACTATTAATCTCTCTCTCTCTCCCTCCCTCCCCCACCCCCACCTTCACCTCCACCCTCTCTTTATCTCTCTGCACCCCTGTTGAACATGGCTGCATTCATTTCTCCATACAGACAAGACGGAAGAAGAATGTAAGTACTTTGAAAGTTTATGACTGCCAACTTCTCATCCCCTCCCCGCCCCCATATTGCCAGGGATTGAACTCAGAACCTCATGTGTGCTGGGAAGGTGTTCTACTGCTGAACCAAACCCCCAGGCCTCACTGGGGGATTCTAGACAAGTGCTGTACTGATGAGCATTTCTTCTATTTTTAAACAGAAGCATTTCTTCTATTTTTAAACAAGTTCTCACTAAGCTGCCTAGGATAGCCATGATTCAACTCTGTCTCAAAATAAAAACTAAAAAGAGAGAATTGCTCAGTGGTAGAGCCCCTGCCTAGAATCCCCCAGTGAGGGGCTGGGGTGTGGCTCAGTGGTAAATCCCCTGCCTAGAATCCCCCAGTGAGGGGCTGGGTGCGTGGCTCAGTGGTAGACTGCTCTGCCAGCATATACAAGGCCTTAAACTGAATGCCCAGCACCACAACAAAAAAGTTTGCTAGAGCAAGTAATTCACAAGTTAGGCAGAGAAAAACCAGGAGTGGTTTGGGCAACTCTGTCCAGACAGGAGAGCGGGGCTGGAGGACAACGGATGGAGGGATAATGGACGTGTTACAGTGATTCCATTGATTTACTTGGTCCACTCCATTGCAAAGTCCCTGTTAGTACAATGTAAGTATATTGGATGTTTTTGATTGGCTGAGCCAAATTCTCCATTTCTCTAGTCTAATGCAACTTGAATTTCCCTTAACTGAAATGCCCATGGCTATAAATGTTTCAAATGTCCAATGTTCAGAATCGTGAACATGGACATAGACTTTATCCATCCAGCACCTCTTACCCAAAACCCCCAAATTTGCTGGACAGCACCCAACTCCAAAGCTGTATGTGGTGGCTCACAGTTGTAATTTCAGCACTTGGGAGACTGAGATTGCCTTGATTTCAACCTACATCAAGAGTTGGTAGGTAGACCAAAAAATGGCCTTGGTCTATGGAGTGAGAAGACCCTATCTTTTTTTTTTTTTTTTTTTTTTTTTTTTAGTTTTTCAAGACGGGGTTTATCTGTAGCTTTGGAGCCTGTCCTGGAACTAGCTCTTGCAGACCAGGCTGACCTTGAACTTACAGAGATCTGCTTGCCTCTGCCTCCTGAAGGCTGGGATTAAAGGTGTGTGCCACCACTGCCCAGCCGAAAAGACCCTATCTCAAAAATAAAAAACGAATGGAAGCTGGAGAGATGACTCAGTGGTTATCATCACTTTCTGCTCTCCCAGAAGACTCGTTTGTGTCCTAGCACCTGCTAAGACAGCTTACGATTGCCTGTAACTCCAGCTGGCCTCCAAGCACAGACATATGGCATCATTTTACACAGACTTATATGCATAAATAAAAACAAAATAAGCCTTAAAAATGAAAACAAACCAAAGTGAAGCTATTCAAGCATCACTTTGATACTCAAAAAGCTTGTCACTAGGGCATTTTGGGTTAGGGATGGTCAGCCCACGTAGGTGTTGATGGGAAATGGCTTAAATTAGACTTGATACTGCCCACAGATGAGGTTAGGCTGAGACCACCGGAGAATGGTGGCTTTGTTTGCTCAGGGATCCTGCAGACCTGGTCTCCTCTCAAGTTTGTTCCGCAGAACGCAAGAACAATTGTTAAATACTTAAAAAAACATTTTATGAGGGAAAAATATGGAAGGTACCAGGGACAGAAGGAACTAATATTCATTCTATTTCCTGCCCATTCTTTTCCACTTGACCTTTGGTTCTGCTTCCAACCCGCCGTC